CTGTAGTTACAGTAGTAACTATGGCCAATACTTAAACGGCTTAGAACCGTAGCTACAGTAGTAACTATGGCAAAAGTAACCGTGGCCGGTGAATGGCCACACATGCGGAGCACACAGCACACACAGTGAAGATTGTTCTCCGCATCTACCCATCCTAGTGCTAGGAGACTAGCACTAGGAGTGGTAAATACAACATTATAAAACGGACAAGCCAAATCAAGCAATCTGATTGGTTCTTAGCTGTGGTATACTGAGCGTATACCACGGGTAGAATTGTAAGTTACTTTTCACAACAACTCAGTATCCCTCCGCGACTGAGATAAACAGTATACAGTTGGGCTGAAAAGCAAACTGCTTGCAGTTTGCTTTTCAAACTGGAACAAGAAAGCAGCGGAGAAGTAACGGAGCAGAAACCCTCCTTTTGACGCAACGGTCCAGACATAGACATCAAACGGCACAAAAACATATTCAGTGTGCAGTTCCTTTGGCATTAGGGCAGGGATATTTAGATACTTTCCAAGGTTTGACATAATGAATTGTGCTCCTTTTAAAGCAAGCAACGATGTTTTCAGATCTGTAATCAAAAAGGTCCGCAAAAACATTTAAGATTAACTTCGACCTCCGGGGGGGGGTCTTACTATATGGAGGAGTGGATTGAGGAGTGCCTATCTCCAGAACAAAAAGCACCTAAACGACGACATGCAGAGCTACGTGAAGAGCAGGTAGACCAACTGGAAAAGTATCACCATTCAAAAGCTTTCTGATGCGGGTCTTGAAACAAAGCAGAGAAATTATGACCGTTAGTGGCCACAGGTGCGAAAGCTCTCTCCAGAGCTACTGGAAGCAGAATCTCGGGGACCGGAGAAAGTGGAGCAATATTCTCGCCACGCCAAGCAACAGCCTCGAACAACCTCAGCCTATACAAGTAACCACGTAAGCCATACTACTGATGCTGGACAGTTTTTCAGTGGGTGCACAATAAACGGCAACATACACATTAATGTAAATAAATAGCCAAATAATGGATCAACGCTCTCTGTCTAATATGTTCGCTAGCTGTTGTTAGTGTTGTTGCATAGCAACCACCTCGCACTGTTTCGTGCAGAAGGCAACGGACGGACTATTTTATTTTGACCATCATTATTTAATAATAACAACTATTTAAATTAGAGTGTGTATTTTTCTTTCATATTGCCACACTTGGTAACCGTTTTATAAAAGCAATAGCTCACTTCAGGCCGTGATATATGCTCATTATATCACAGCTAAGGGGGTTGTCGACCCTCCGCTTCGCGTCGGGCCGAACCACGCCCCTTAGCTGTGATATAATGAGCATATACCACGGCCTGTCGTGAGCTATTGCTTAAATATAGCGCTACTGCAGTCGCTGAGAATGAAGCTAATTAGCTTCTAAGGAATAGAACAGCCCGCAAGAACCATAGGCCATGGTTACAGCAGTAACCATGCCGTAGTTGCATGGCCTAGGACCGTAGTTACAGTAGTAACTCTGGCCAGAACTTACCTTACTCTCTGCACCTAACAAAAAACAGGCAAATTATGGCACTGTGGGCTTTCCATACAATTAAATGAGAGACGCAGCGAAAGCTGGGAACTCAAATGCTAAAGATAGCTCGGGCACAACGCCACAAGCAGAACTTTCGAAAGAGCATCATAAGGGCAACTTTATGGGAGAGGAGGCGAGAACACTGTCGTCACCAGAAAGTAGCCCGACAATAACAAGACAGCAATCAGGACAACTTAGCTGGGAGAGGGTGCGGGAACACAGCCATCACTACAAGTTGACACGAACCTGTCCGTCGAGGCTCTGCATGGCGCACCGCCGGCCACAGCTCCTGGAGGACGCGTTAACAACCCGTAGCTCCGACTATCAGTCGCGAAGCTCCCCGCGGCCAGCTGTATGCAGAGAAATCCCTCAGATCAAACGTTCAAACCTGAACGCTGTAGGCTGCAAGAATGCAGCCACGGTACTCTCGGGCAGCGAGAAGATGAAAGGAACAGATCCTCTGATGACACCGGCTGATATAGCCGGTGTCACGTGGGTCACAGGTGACTTTGTTGATATTGGTACTCGTACTGCGCATGCGCACGATGGACATATCCAGTGCTAAAAGCACCGCCTCTGGCGGTCAGTAGGGACGAAATAGAACTATTGTTTACCTCTATGCATTCAGTGTAGCCACAGAGGTAGCATTATGTCCAGCTAGCATGCTAATTGCTAACGTTATATTATCGTTTTATCCCGGAGGGGAAAACTAGTTTCTAATCCTGAGAGAAACACCTCGCCTGAAACACACGATTAGTGCCATGAGTTAGTGAAGCAAATTACAGAACATTGCACACTTATTCACAAGTCAAAACGTGTTCATAGCAGGCATGGATGAGAATAGCTAGCTAGCTAGATGTTGTTAGCCAGCTTGGACCTAACGTTAGCAAGTTCTAGCATGGCTAGCTCGATCTACTGAGCAAATAAAAGACCAGTATTGTGCAGATTAAAACAGATTAAAACAGTGCAGTGCATGCATTTTAATTTACCTTAACATAGCTTCGTAGCCGTCCCGACATTACTTTGCCAGGTCTGCTAACTTTGCTGATCGAGCCACGGAAACTGCATTCAGTAGAAGCTTCTGAATGCGTCCTCCGAGTAAATCGCCAGAAGCGCAGACACATCCTCATCACTCCACCGCTCCAATTGATTTATTTAGTGTTGCTATAATAACTGCTTTCACAAAAGGAATGTCTTCGGGTGCGCTGCCCGAAGCGAGCAAATACAATGGCCGCTTTCAACAAAAAGAAGACAGAGTCAAACGGGCGTGGTTTGCATTCCGCACAGCCAATCAGACGTACGAACTACTTTCTCCCACAACAGTCCCTGCTCTTTAGCAGGGCCTGAAAAGCGGGTCGGACGAACTAAATTGAGCTACTTTAGTTCCTGGGGCTTTTTGGTGTGAACGCAAATATATCGTAGTTCTGATGAACTATTGTGGGAAAAGTACACCAAAGTACTCCGGTGTGAACGCACCTATTAGAAGCTGCTGGGACTCCCAGCAGCTTCTAATTCTAAGTTATTCTCTCTCCGTTGGTGCGCGGGGCTAATCCTAATGCTAATAATGCTAATGCCAGCAAATACAATACTTCACAAAACTTTTCAGAGTTTTACGGGGCGTGGTTTGCAATTCGGTCAGTGTATGTTGTGGTCATTGGATTTTCTTTTCACAAATGGAAATTCAAAAACAAAAAACGACTGGATATTTGATTTTCGTTTTCAAATTGAAAAACCAAAATTGAAATACAAGGCGTTTTTCTTTAACATGGTCAAAAAGGGATTTACTAAACTTAAAAAACGGGATGATTTACATTTTCTACTTCTCAAAACAAAAAATAAAATCACTAGAAAACAGAAACAAAAAAACCCCCCTTTTTTCATATTCTGCCACCGGAAGTTGTCTTTCAAAATAAGAGCGCAGATGAGGACGGTCAATCCGTGTATCTACGGTCCATTTGTTTTCACAACGAAAACAGCCAAGACACATATTGAGCCCAGAAAATGAATGTTATTAAGGGCTGTAAATATAATAGGCCTATGTCTAAAATGGACAACATTGTTAGGAGATTTCAACTATACAGCGATTCTGCACTGCGGTCAGCTCAGCCGTCTCTCGAGTTTGTTATAATTTCTTCTGCCATTAGTTCTTCGTGAGATCGATCCTGTTGGACTCAGTAGGCTAGTAGTGAAACTACTCCCACAAGTACTATGAAGTACTTACTGTGTACTTTTTGAGTACTCCTCTGTCAATGTCCCCTCCTGAGAACAAGAATGCATCTTTCTCTGCTATTTTGAATCAGCGTTAAAACACCTTTCTTCATGAGACTGATATTGTTGGACAGAGTATTTTAAGAGGATATGGTAGACATGATATCAGCAATACTTCCAGTCAGTAGTCCGGCAGCAGCATTTTTACCCCTTGGAAAGTCTTGCCCGCTATTTAAATTGACTTTGATTGAAGTTAATAACAATATTGATATTATATAGATATATAGATATAGCATATTTGATGCAGTCTTTCTGAACACTTTTAAAATAAAATACTGCAAATGAAGAATATTTGTAATGTTCTGCACAGATAGTGCCTTAACTTGAATTTGAAAACACGTGGCAGCTTTATTAATACAGCAGATGAAAAGATTTGTGGAAGGATACATTCTTCATGGGCTTCAATGGCTCTCTAGATAAAGGGCGTTTTATGGTTGCTTGTATTATCCTCAGATAGGGGTTTGTTTAAATAACTAGTGACATTTTAATAAATATTGCAAAAAAGGGCTCCAAAAAAGGCATATATCCTGGCCGGCTTAGCCAATGTGTATTTTTTCAAGCACCACAAGATTCATAGTTTATAAAGTACAATTCTGGGCCATTGATTGTGTCATTTCTCCAAACTCATACAGTAAAAATTGCTGTTTTTGAAGCCTTAAAATGGTGCAGGAAAAGGACTTTACATTGTATTATACTTAAAGACAGGACTATTCAGTTAAGAGAAGAGAAAAAATGAGTCAAACGGGCGTGGTTTGCATTCCGCACAGCCAATCAGACGTACGAACTACTTTCTCCCACAACAGTCCCTGCTCTTTAGCAGGGACTGAAAAGCGGGTCGGACGAACTAAATTGAGCTACTTTAGTTCCTGGGGCTTTTTGGTGTGAACGCAAATATATCGTAGTTCTGATTAACTATTGTGGGAAAAGTACACCAAAGTACTCCGGTGTGAACGCACCAAATGAAACTGTGTATGTGATCTGACTCTAGATGGAAGGTGCTTACGTAACACTTGAATCATCTCACAGGTGTAATTGGATGTCGGTTTGGGTCGCGTGGAAGAGGTTCTGACGCCAGCATATCTAAGCTCACATGTTTCAATTCTCCCAAAAATAACTAACAAACGGGTTATTTCTGGATGGGAAAAAAAACGCAAACATACAAAAGAACTCACACCTGATATTCTTTTATTTTACATTCAAAACATACATATCTGGTACAATGTTTCTGTAAAAAATTGATATCTAGTTATAAAAGGTAACTTTACCTAGTGTTTTTTTCAAATACTGCTTAATATTATTGTTAAATGCAATCCTGAAAGAAATATATTTCCTTCACAATGTAATAATAAATTGCTTTCAGAGGAAAAGCACACAGTAACTCAAAAAGATACATTAATTAAAAATAGATGCAAATTCATGTTTTTTGATATAAGTGGTTGACTGGTTGTATTCACAAACACACAAAAAACTGACAGATGTGACACAAGCTTGCAAAGAATCCTAGTTCCTTCGCTACAATGTGTAACGGCATCCTAAAAAAGTGTGAGGCAGGCAGAGAAACACGACTCCTGTGTGTATCACAGGATGTAAACACAGGTCCAAAGGCCTCATGTACAACAATATGTTTACATTTACCATAAAAATTGCATTAAGACACAAACATGGAAACACAGTTTGAGATGTAGGAAACCAGGCTCAAACAAAACCAAGACAAATGACTCGTAATAAGTGACATAAGTGGATTTTTCAGTTTATAGTATCATTAATATCTACCACGGCCCATCAACTCCCAGTATTAACAATGAATTGTATAATGGCAAAGGAAGGCTATATTTGTATTCCTTATTTAAACATTCCATAAAACAAAAAGACATGTTAAACAACATACTTTAAGGATTTCTTTTTTTGCATTAGAAATCAAAATGGCAGTCTAGACGGCCCTTACTAAATATCAATTATTTGAGTCAGGTAAGGGCAACATTTCTTATAATCAATTTGTTCTTTTGTTCAACTTTATCCCTTAGAAGTCTATTTCTATTAGAATTTCAAAACAGTCAAAAAAAGTAGGTCATCCAAGACTTATATAATAACAATTCTTAAATTCAAAGTACTGTCTCATTACAGCCACAGTGGAACCGGATCAGTCAAAGACCGATGTTATTCCTTCTCATCATCTACCTTTGTTCTTCGCATGAATAAAAAACCAATACCCATCCAAAGTACTCACTGAGAATGTGCTGTATTCACACACTCGGACTGTAAACACACACAGATTTAGAGCAGTGACATTATGTGTTCACCATGTTTCGTACACACAAGGTCCCTGGAGCTACAGCAGATAAAGGAAGTGGTCATTTTCTTCTGTCTCATAGTGGTTTCTCAGTAAGAGCATAAGGTCTCACAGTGGCGGCCAATCATTTAAACCGACCAGGAATGTAGAGTGATGAGGTTCTTGGCAGGTGTGCATCCCCACCTTTACAGGTACGTAGTTTACAGTTCCTCAAAGAAGGCCACCCGGGTCTTGGTGCTCTGTAGTGTTAGCTATGGAGGAAACAACAGACCGCATATGATTTTTTAGTCTGAAGTAAACAAATACTTAAACAACAAGCAAGGGAGAAAAAGTTAAACAATTGGACATTGTCACTGAAGAGTAATGTCACAGAAATCATCGCCTTTGTATATTCAATGCAAGCACCATGACCACCAAGTCTGCCTCAGTTTCTGACTGAGACAATAGCAAAACGTAGCTGATGATCAGGCATCATAAGGTGACAAGATGTCCAGAAAAGTGCAGGAAAGTACCGGATAACGTGCAATTGTCCAAAAGTCTGACCAAAGTTTTGATTAGTTATAGCGTATTTTATACATTAACTTCTGACTGTAGTGCAACATTATCTTGGTGTTACAGATGGGCACTGTCATGTTTGTAGGCAACATGAATTATGGGCTGTTTATTTTTGCCATGTACAGTAATTCTCCCGAGTTGATAAAGACGCATAGCGGTTCAGTATAGTTATAACAATGTTGGGTTGTGGAGAGGGGGAGATATACCTGTCGATCCTTGATGCCTAAAAAGATTCAAACTGTATGTCTGTTTCCTGTTTTATTTGTTCACCTGTTGAGAAACACTCCAGTCCAGTCCTGTACATCAGAGGCCATGCCCAGTTTCCACAAATATGGGTATGGAGGAGGTGTCTAGGTTTTTCTGTCCTGTTTTTGAGCATAAAGACACTGGCAGAGAGGGAGCAAACTCGAGAGACAGGGGGGTTCCCCTGGTATGCCCTCTCTCCCGGTAGAGCTCTCTCCCTGGAGAGCTCGGTTTTTGCTCTCGGTAAGGTTCTCTCAAACTTGGTGAATATCTCTCAAATGTCTTTGTTGAATGCGGAGTGAATTGATGTGTGTTGAAAGTTTAGTACCCTGCCACCTGTGAGGAAAGGTCCTCCGAATTCATGCGGGACAGAGGTGTATATTAATTGATTTGTTGAATGAAAGTTTGAATGTGCTTTTTATTATCACCGGTCATTTATGAGGAGATGCCTCTAAATTCTGTCGGACGATTTTAAATGTCACAACTGAATTGGGCAGTTGAAGTTACAATTTAGTGTAATAAATGTAAAACTGTGAATTGAGGTTTCATATTAGAACAGGACCACAGCATGATATGTTTTGTAGGATTTTCATGTTGTAACGAGAGAAGGTAAAACCCTGTTCAAGTGTGGACCAATTTTTCTTCAAATAAACTGATCCCACCTTTTGGATTTGGACAACTTGCAGGTCTCCCTTGAAAAAGAGATCTATGATCTCAATGGGACCAATCTGGTTAAATAAAGGTTTGAAATGAAATGAAATGAACTTAAAAGACTTCTGCGCTATCCTCTCCTGCTTAAAAGGTAAGAAATGCACACTGCCACACTCACACTTAGGTAGGGCCACACCTCATTACTGATATCAAAATCCTTCGGGATCGCTTAAACAGATTTAGCGGGTCGTCTGAATTGAAACAGCAGTTAATTGAACCTGGTTCTCCAGGAGTTAATAGAGGTGAGATCTTGCTGACGTTGGTGGATCTGAGCCAAGCAGTACACATACATAGACTCAATAACTTCTGTTAGGTCAATTAGTAGGTCTGAGTAATTTGCCGGAATAAATTAACAGCCCCCCCGACTCCCCATGTGTCGTGTCTGTTTTTACTTCCTGTCTCTTTTGATTACCTGATCATGTTCACCTGGTGCCCCTGTGTTTTTCTGCCCTCCTCAGCTGTGTCGTGTTCTTGTGATTAGTCCTGCAGTTATTTAAGTTCTGGTTTCATGTCATTATTTGTTGGATCCTTATTTTCAGAGAGGTTTGGGCTGTTTGTTTAGCCTTACCATGCTATGCCAGAAAACCTTAAACATTAAAGGACAGGTGTCATGCTTTTCCGTTTATTACCCGTCCCCTTGTGTGTTATGAAGGTTTTTATGCATGTAAACGGTGTGCAGAGTCAAAACCCTCAAAGTACACCCTATAGCGAGTAAAACTCTAACACAGAACATACCTCCCCAAAACGCCTCGTTGGAGATACGTCATTGTCCATTGTTTACTTCCTGGGTATGACGCGATACGGTCATGCGGTACCCGGAACCAAATGGACCAATCCGTGGAGCCGTTACGTTACGTCCGCGGAGCCGTTACGTTAAGCCCCCGCTGATTGGTCCAAATTGACCAATCCACGGACTTCCTCACACACAGGCAGCTCAGCTGATTTCTCCTCCCTGGCTGCAGGCTGATAACAGACAGTTGGGATCGCGGCGAAATTCTCTCTGCAGACCCATTCTCACAGCGTTTATCAACCTTTTTCTTACTCAATATCAAGCCACACTTATTGTTTTTACTTCGGCTGTGACTGTGTGTGCTCAGGATGAGTTTGGCTGTGTTTCGCTATGTATCCTAAACAAGGAAACAACACCTCCACGGAGCTCCGCGCGATTCACAACGTCCCGACCAATCAGAGCACACTGTGCTCACAGGGAGGGTGGGGGCTGGAGCTTTTGGAGCTAAAACGAGCCGTTAAAGGCAGAGAGTGAAATTCAGTGAATACACATACTTTACAGAGATGCTGTATGAGAAACCAATGTGAGTTTGGAAAATTGCACAATATAAATCTATTTTAGTATACCTCAACAATGGAATTATGATCAGTGGAAATGGCCATGACACCTCTCCTTTAAAGGTTTTTTTGGGTCCACCCTCCATTTCTCTCACGTGACACAAACGATCCGAAGTCTGCAGGAAGGAATACTTCTAATATTCATTGATACTAAATGTGTTGGAGGCAACAAACTACATCAACTCCTGTCTCACAAATGTCACCCGTTCTCATCTGGTCACCCTAACCTAGCACCCTGCGGGGGTCTCTACTTCTTGGGAGCTTGTTGCACTCTAATCTTACTAAAACCAGTCTTTTATAAGAGCCTACTCTTGCTTTAGAATTATGCAGTGTGTATTTATTTATTTTCTGACATATAATTAACTTCATCAGCACTACTTGAAGACTGGTCTAGCAACATAACATATGCAATATTTTATTCAAATGTTCAAAAGTTTCATTTGCACTATTTGTATTTTTTGTCTTATGTCCTATATATAATATCTTACATTGTTGGAGGAGCTTGGGACCTAAGATTTTCCTTGCCATAACTACACTGTAGCTACTGTGCATATGATAATAAAATCATTGAATCTTGAATCATTTTATGTGTTTTATACACCGCAAAATACTGGACCAAGGTCAATTTAGCCGCCATACTAATGAAGATACACACATCCATGATTTCTGCAAAGTACATATAAAAAAGCTCAAACAACCACAGAACATTTCGATACAACGTGATTGTGACTTGACTAATCAAATATGTTTTCATAAGGAGAGGATAACTGGAAAGTCTGTAGACTGTTGTGTATTACCTGAAAAGACCCCCTTAGGGTAATTCTGTTTTTAATTCATTTCTGATGGTATGTAAAAGATATGCAGCATTCTTGATACAATCTACATTGAAACCCAAATCAGGCTCGATGAGTTTGCAACAAAAACAAATGTGTAGGTTATTTTAAATTCCTTTCTACTGCGGGACTATCAAACAGAGCAGGGTGTGTAGAAGATCAATGCCGGTCAGAGAAAGTACTGCTAATTGTTTTTCTGTCCAGGTTTAAATGAGCTGGTGATGAATTCATTCAGACTGTGCTTTAACCCCTTTGGCACAGCTTAGCATTAGCTTGTCTAAAACAGCTTCTGTGAGCACTACGTCAAAACGACTGGGCAAACTGTTTCCCCTCTTCAACATCTGTAGGGTAAAGGGAATTAAATACGCTGCCAAAGTAAATATTAGACTGAGGATGATTGAAGAGAGTTTGGAAAAACCCAGCTTATTTCTGGGGAATGTGTAGATGGAGGAAAGTAAGCAAATCTGAACAGATAATGTGTGGGCAAGGGATTGATTTGCAGCACGATGTTTACAGATGAGCTTCTATTGTCCCGGCTGACAGGCAGACTGAACTGTACTGTGAGTGTATTCTCAGCTTTGTACTGCACACTGCAAACAGTCTCCATGTCGGGAAGAGAGCAAGAACTCTTTATAAAAAGGTTTTCATATTTCACAACAGCAACCTATTGACATGAAATAAATGCGTTTGTATGTTGTATGGATACTTGTGAAGACTGCGATGAGAGCAACCTCAATGGTTGACCTCTTTTGTGCCACTTCACACAGTCTGGATAGACTGCCACATAAAAAAGAATAAAAACATTCCCTCTGTGTGAAACTTCACACGGGACCATGCAGCTCAGGAGGGCCTTTGTAGCCCAGTGGTAACTGCGCATACCACATTACAGCAACATACACCAATTATATTACTTGCCAACCACCTTTTTTATTGAAATATTATCAATTTAATTCATTCTCACACAGGCTGTTAGCACCCACGTTCATCATATAAAAACACTGATTTGTAAAGTGTGTTATCATAACTAGATACAGCTACAAAAAACGGTTGTGTCCGCTCGGTGCAGCAGCAGAGTAGCAGAAGTCTGATTCCCCTAAACAAGAGGCAAGATTTAGGAGAGTTGCCTGACCAGACATTGTCAAGACGTAGACTAAGTTGATTTAAAACCTGATTAAGATAATGATGCAGTCTGTCTACTTCGTTATGAAGCTGTGCAAAGTCTGAAAACCTGGGTTTTAGCAAAGGTTTGACCGGAGAAAGCCACACAGCCATCCAATGTTTAAGATCAAAGTTAAACTCTGAACGCCACCGAGGATATCTTTTCTTGTAAGGTCTCCAGAGCAGTCCCAAGTTTTTGAATGGTGGCAAATGTTCCACGTTTTGGCATATATATACGAGAGCATTATGGGTACCATTCAAGCCTACTGACCTGTATTAAAGGTCCCATGTCATGTCCATTTATACTGATCATAATTCCATTGTTGAGGTATACTAAAATAGATTTATACTGTGCAATTTTCCAAACTCACATTGGTTTCTCACACAGCATCTCTGTAAAGTATGTGTATTCACCGAATTTCACTCTCTGTCCTAAACGGCTTGTTGGAGCTCCTGCCCCCCCCTCCCTGTGAGCCCAGTGTGCTCTGATTGGTCGTGAAGCTGAGAGGCTCGTTGCTGCTCGCAGCTCCTCGCAGCTGTGTGAGCTGCTGCAAGGAGCAGACAGGCTTTCCGTGTCGGCGTCTCGGTGATACAGGAGAACAAGCGAAACTCATCCTGAGCACACACAAACACTCACAGCCGAAGTAAAAAATATAAGTGTGGCTTGATATTGAGTAAGAAAAAGGTTTATAACGCTGTGAGAATGGGTCTGCGGAGAGCATTTCCCCGCGATCCCAACGTAGTAGTCCGAAAAAAGTTTACCCATTTAAACAGTCGTGGTAGATACCTTGTTTGTTTTAAACATCATAAATACACAAACAGCAATGAATACTTACAGGTTGTGTACCCGAATCTCCCGATGGTCCAAACAAAGTAGGAACAGCATCGTTCTTCAGTGCCCTACGCTGTATATCCGGCATGAATCGCTGAAAGGTTTAGGAAGCTTTGTTTTGTGAAAGGCTGGCAGAGGGTGCGGCCATAGCTATGGGCGTGGCTACTGGGTATCCCTACGTAGCGATACCCAGGAAGAAAATGAGAAATCTCCAACGAGGCGTTTTGGGGAGGTATTTTCTGTGTTAGAGTTTTACTCGCTACAGGGTGTACTTTGAGGGTTTTTGACTCTGCAGACCGTTTACATGCATAAAAACCTTCATAACACACAAGGGGACGGGTAATAACCGGAAAAGCATGACATGGGACCTTTAAATGTTTCTCTGTCTCCTCACCTTCAGGTAAAGGCAAAAAATACCTAATCTTACATCCGAAAATAAGAGAAAAAGACCCCTCCGACAGGCCTGGTGCTAACAGAGCAGAACCTGTTGTCTGGACCGAGTGCAAAGGCGCTGGGCCATGTTAAGGGGCTGTTCATTAATCATCCAGAAGGGGGGGGGGGGGGGGGGGGGGGGGGGACTGGATGGAGAAAACGTAGCCCGGAGAAACAGCCACTCCTGTCTCTTCTGGCTCTCAGACTTGTCCTTTCTTGCTCTTCTCCGTGACTCAGCTTCCTTTTAACTCTTCATCCTTTGAACATTTTTGGTCAACCTCTGCCTCCCCTCGGATCCTCGCATCGTTTTGCAACGCTGACCTGGTTTCCTCACTGTCCATTGCACTTCTTCCTGCAATGCCATGTGCATGTGTGAAAGATAAATGCTGTGTGCCTGTGGTTTAATTAAATCAGCACTTTTAACTTTGCTCACTCTCCCCCTGCATGCAAAAGGTGCCCCCCCCCCATCCATCTATATGACAAATGACCGAGCAGAAATCAATTAGCGCTCGCTTAACAGGAGTATTTTACAGTGGGAGACAGGAAGGCAAAGAGGGTGGGCTTTTTTCTAATGCAATGTACTGAGAGCACAGATCACATTTTTATTTGATACGTTTTATTGAAATTACAGACACACTGGGGTGGGAAGATAAAGGAGAATGTGTCTAATCTGCCAGTTCATCAAAGGACAAGGGGAACAGAATCTACTTTTTATAGCAAGTCCATCGCCCATCAATTTAGGATTATCCCTTCGGCGAAAAGGAGATCATTTCATATCGTCAAGCGAGACACTTCTGTGAGATGAAGCTATTCTCACTGAGGGAGTTGACCTAAGATGCATACAGAAACACAGATTTCTCTCTCAGTTGATCTGTGAGAGCTTTTGAAAAAGTATACTTAAGACCAGTAATCACTGTGCAGTTTTAGAGGTCATAGTTAAAAAAATGAAGGAGTGCTCCACCTCTCTGCAAGGGGTTCCATCCAAAAAGAAACTTTAGTCTGAAAAATACCCCGGGGCAAAGTTTAGATTGTTGCTATTAAGTGATGCTCTGAGAATCAGTAATAACCCGCCTATGAATAATAAGAGGGTTAGGCAAGTCCTTGAAAGATTATGTAGGATCAGTATGAAAACCACATTTACACTTCTTGTGTCTCCAGCTGATTGGACAGCTTTTGAATAGCTAAAGAGTAACTTGTAAATGTAACTGCAATGCATTAGAACTAGGGCAGGGTGTTTTATTAACTACCTCTCTAAAATGATTTGATATTTTATCCAATCCAATACAAGAAAGGCTAATCTGCAAAAATACCGTACACTGCCATTCACAGGGATTTGATTTGATTCAATTAGGAATTGCATTGGTATCTTTACTAAAACAAAGTGTGACTAACAATAGTTTCTCAACTTGCCAACCCAATGAGAAATGACGATATGATGCAAGGTGCAGGCAACGACTACATGTAATTATGCCTGTAACCAGATTAAATATATACTTTGCAAATGTTTCATTAGGACAGAAAAGCAATCAATATACATCTGAGTCTGCAAACACTGCCGAGTCACCATGATTACAAACAAAAACTCTGCCCTTAAATCTTGATGAATGATTTTTCTATTGCCTCAATTCCTCAGTAGGGCTGCAGGATTAAAGCCATAATGATTGCACTTAAAACATCACTGTTGATTAGGTTTATTAAGTTGTGGGAAGCTGAAATCGTGGTCACCATTAATTATCAATTGATTGTGCAAGTCTTTCTGCAGGGAAATTGTCAAAATCACTTTAAGAGGTAGATGTGAATACATTTTCGGTTCTGCTACTAGAGTTTTTGTTGCATATACACAAGATGCTAAAATAAATACAAATGATTGACAGTGAGTGTAAAAAGACGAGGCATGAACGGGGTCAGTAGAGTGTATTTTGGAGAGATGTACGTTTGGCAAAGTGTGTTACCTGTACAGCATGCAAGCAGCCAAGCTGAGATTTACCTTTTTAAAGTTGCTGTGCTTGCTGGTCCCCTGCTCGGTGTTCTGGTTGTGAATGATGTCCAGAGGAGTCTCTCTCTCTTTCATCTTCAGACTCTCAATCTCTGTCTTCAGCTCATTCAGCTGCTCCTGCAGGTGCTTGCTCTTCTCCATGTACTCCACTCTGAACAGGATCACATTACAGGTTGAGAGACAGTTAATAAGAATCTAAGTCCCCGTATGTCCTCATTAGATCTAACTACAGTATAATAGCTAGCACTGACATCACCATTATGAATAAATATAGAATCAATGGGCATCTCTGCTTCACTCCTCTTAACATGAGCACCGACAAAGAGATATGACCTTTGTTATAATAATAATAATGAAGCTTGTACTGTTAAACCATTATTAAATGAGGTAATTCAAAGGCCCTCTGCATGTCGGAAAAAAAAAGTAAATCCTTTACTTTGAATTTTCTCTAAAAACTTCAGATGGTTTCTTAGCACTCAGCAAATAATAATTAAAACACAACCTCTATTTTATGTTTAGTAACTTTTTTTTTACAGACGCAGCGGTGGCGGGTTTCACCTCCTTGATCTGATAATCATTGCACAGCGCACTGCGCCACACCGCCCATCTTCACACCTCGAAGTCATCAAGGCGCTTTTACAAGTACACATTGATATTATACATGTACTGTGGACAATACCCACAGGAGCAGATTCGGGTGAAGTGTCTTGCCCAAGGACACAACGGCCTGACGCAGTGGCGGCGGGAGCGGGTTTCGAACTGGAGTTCCCCAACGCCCCCTTGATCTGATGATCAAACGCACAGACCACTGCGCCACCACCAATCGTCGACCTGTAGCCTCTCGGCTCACTTGCCTTATTAAATAAAACTTAATTACCTAACTATATAACAGCAAGGAGGTAATTACTCAGCTCTGTTTAACAAGTGTTTATACTGTCTGTGACACCAAGAGCTAAAAAGCTAGAATGCTGTCAGTGACATCAGTGAGGGTCGATCGCCAACTGGAAGTACAATCCTGAATTCATGTACATCTTTCTCAATCACATGTTAGTGTATTACAAATCTGTCAAACTTTATTTAATCAGATTTTCCAGAGGCTGCAAGATATCAGGCAGCCCCAGCAGAGTAAAGCCGGCCACTCACTTCTCCTTCTCGATCTCCATGGAGAGGCGTTTCATGTCGGTGTCTTTAAAGTCAAAGCTGAGGTTCTCCCTGCTGAAGCTCAGGTCGGGAGGCATGCTGTCGGGAGGCATGCTGTCAGATGGCAGGCCAGGAGACTAGGAGGGGAGATGAAAGGAGAGAGATTAGAGGGAAGGAGGTGAAGTAGACGAGTTGGCAGTGGGGAAAACACAGAATAAAGAAGACATGGGAGTGAGAGGGAAAAGGACAGAGAAAGGGTTCAAATAAATACGCAAAGGAGGAGTAGATGAAAGTGACAGGAAATACAAGTTCACTGTACCCTGTATGCAAGGGCTGGTCTGCCTTCACTAACTGTACGGAGGCTCAGTCACTGGTACATTTTTATATACAAAGCCATGTTAGGGAAACTTCCATCCTCCATCTGCTCCCTGATCTCACGGCGAATTGTAAGTGGCTACTGCCTGAGATCGCATGCTGTGGTTTTATTAAATGTGCCAACTGCTAGGACTGTCTTAGGGAAGATAGCATTTAGATGCGCAGCTCCACTGTCCTGGAATAGTTTGCAATTGAAATGGAAACTGAGCAATCTGGTGCCACTAAATGTTTTTAAAGCTCGGTTGGATGCTACTGAATCGGAAGCTGTTGGTACCTGTTCATGTGGATAGTTATGTAAATTGTAATCCCTGTAATGATACTGTATGATGTCCTTTTTGTTGTTCTGTTTATGTTTTTAATGTTTCATGTGGAACCTACTTGAGCAGGTCTCCCTTGAAAAAGAGATCAATGATCTCATTGTATGGGATACACCTGGATAAATAAAGGTTTGAAATGAAGGGACATGGAGGAATGCATGGAAAAGACATTAGGGACATAAGGGAGAAACAGAAGGGATGAAAGATATCGACGTTGATGGTCATGGACCGTGAACACCCAAATGTATGCTTTTAGATCCTGAGCAAAGGTCTGAAATGCATCGGCCACATGTCACTTTGGGAGTGAGCCAGTAAAGAAGTGGACCTAATACACAATATAAATGTAAATCCATTGGTTGGCGTGGGATTCCAAACTACAGTATGGATTCAATTGAAGTAAATACAGACTGGGCAAGCAGAAAAAAGGCAATTTGTCTGGTAAAAATTGGAATTGTAAATAATGTGTGTGTGTGTGTGTGTGTGTGTGTGTGGAGACATTTTCTGTTTTTACGCATGATCTGATAAATCTATAAGGGAGTTCCAGTGGTAGCATGTCTTTTGTATTTATGTGCACCAAACTGTTTAGGCTTTTCATTCATAACCTTACAAATCAGTCGTTCTTTATCGATGGCCAGCATTAGAATCTGTGTGTGTGTGTGTGTGTGTACATGTGTGTGAGCAGCTGAATGTGCAGTGTGTGGGTTTTTAGCATGTTGGGAGCTTTTGCGTAGGCTGCCTTATGTGCTGCCTGATCTTATGCAAGTATCTCCAGTTCAGTGTGGCTGTGCGAGGCTACAGTAGCATGTGTGTGTGTGTGTGTGTGTGTGTGTGTGTGATTTGTGCAAGGCTGAAACTGTTAACTATTTACATTATTTATTTATCTCTGTCTAAAAATATATTTAAAAAAAATGCCCTTCCCAATTTACCACATGTCACACTGGAAAAGCCTCGACTTTTTTGGGATACTAAAACATGTATCCAGGAACTATGGAAGAAAAATGTCATTTTCGGTTGTGTAATCCAGATTAAAAAGAAAGTAATACAAAAACATTCTTAGTAGATCAACAGAACAACAATGGGCAATCAACAGCTGCCCACTATTTTTTATAATTGACACAATTATATTTAAAAATAGCACCAAAAAAAGCTGTCTTAACTCTACAAATATTGAGTTATCGTCCCTGATACACCACATCAAACTGAACGACATCACTTTGAGAATTGCAGGGGTACAAACTCATCAGAGGCAAACAGGGGAAAAATATGCAAAACCACACTAGCGGTTTCACAGGAAGATAATAAGAAAACGGTTAAATGTTTTAAAATGTAGATCAACAGTGGATTTAAGCATGGAGATAAAGGAAACAATTATGTATGGGGGATATCAGTTTAAACTAGAGAATGCAATTCCTGAAGAAATTGCTAGTGGGAATGCTTTATGCTGAAATATAATGTGTAAGAAGAAAGTGAAGAATTTAGATTGAAATGATACATGAACACTGGGGGCTTGAATGTGTGATGAGAGAAGAAAAGAAAGTAAAAAGGCTTGGAAAAGCAGCAGAATATTTGAACTGCAAACCTTTGAACTAACTTGATGGTGAATGATCTGTCGCCATGCCAACGGCATTTGAAGAAATCTCAAAACTGTCCCGTAGATGTCTTCACGGCTGGACTGTTAGCACACATGTGAAGTTTGAGTACTTTTTAAACATTTTCATAGGAGTTATAGCGACATCGACTTTTATGGCGAGGGAAGCGTTTCCATGGAAACGTTTCCATGGAAACGGCATATGGTGAGATCTCAGATTTGGCGTAGAGCTGTTGAGGCATGGACCGGTGATATACACGTGAAGATTGGGGGACGATCGGACCGTGTCCATTGGACTTACAGCGACATCGTGCTTCATGGCGAGTGGTCTGTCGCCATGGCAACGGCATTTGAAGAAATCTCAAAACTGTCCCGTAGATGTCTTCACGGCTGGACTGTTAGCACACATGTGAAGTTTGAGCACTTTTTGAACAGAGAGAGATTGTGAGAGAGAGGGAGAGTGTGTGTGTGTGTGTGTGTGTGTGAGAGAGTATGTGTGTGTGTGAGTATGAAATGAACAGTTAGAACTGACTGCTGTCAGTAGGAGTGATGACATCATCGCGTTCCATAACACAGGTGTTCATCGTTGAGATAACGAGGTGCCTAGACTTCAAAGGTTTCATTGTTCTGGATGAGAGATGAACCTCTTACATGTGAACGTTTTGTGGAAGAACGATAACAGATATCTGTGAAATTTCAAAACGGGAAGCATGTCAAGGAAGTTGAGTATCTGAAGTGTAATTTTTGTGTACTTTCGGGTTAATAATGTGGCCTTTTTGGCAGTTTAAGAAAGGTGTGCGGCTGCTGCTGTGAGGAAATATCTGCCTGAATTTACAATGGGCTTTAATGGAGACATGTTGAACGTTTTTGTCACTTCATGCCCTCAAGAGGCATTTTGTTTAATTATTTTGCTTAATTATTTGTCATTTTTCAAGCTACGAGATGTTTTCCTACGTTTATCATAAAAAATTATGTCTCAGGAATGTAGGGTTTGGGAATTATGGCAGTTTTAAAAAAATATATGAAGGCACATTTCAAGATTTCTCACCCTCTAGCTGTGACATCACGCACTCTAGTTAATGTTAAAATCTGAAGAAAACCTCTTTAACAAGGTCTGAACAATGTTGAATATCTCTAAAAGTAAGAATCAGATTTAAAAGTTGTGTTACACGGATAATGTAAGAAAGATGTGTAACATTTGAAAGTTGGAATGAGGTTTCTGAGTGAAAGTATGAATGAACAGTTAGCAGTTGAAGTCGCATGAAGATTTGTTGAAGTGTGAAGAATATCTCCATTGACTTCAATGTTAAAAATGTGATGTATTATGGGATGTATCTCTGGAATTATGAAAGTTATGAATGATAAAAGTAATAGCAGTCGATTCCCGACCGAGCTGAACGTTTTGATGTTTGAACGGAGTTTCTGCGATGTTGAATGTGGGAGGAGAAGACCGGCAAAGTAATTGGATGGAATAATAATAAACTTTTCGTCCGTAGCAGAACATATAGTGGGATTGCTGTTAACAGCATTCCCACTAAATTATAAAAATATGAATGCTAATGATTCAGTTACCGCGTAGACAGCCCTGCTGGTGATCTCCAGCAGTTTGTGCTTGGCCCTGCGCTCCGACTCCTTGGCTTCCTGCAGGTCCTGTCTCAGCTGCTCAGCCTCTCTGGCCCTGAGGGACAAACACAGACAGAGGCAGTTCATACTTTAATTCACCTACCAATCCTTCAAAGGAGACAGAATTATCTTACATAATCGGTACGTTGGTACTCGAAGACACTGGGAATGTCACTCTGTTATTACCCGGGTGATCAATGTAACACCGAAGCACAACATCATTTCTGACTCCATTATTCCACCATGGAGTTTGAATGTTATGTGCAGGTGATTACATTTATTTTGATTGTGTTCCTGAACTCTCAGCGGTTCCTCGTTGATGTGGGGGAGCTGTGTGCCTCGAGGGTTTGAGTGGACACAGTCATTTACATGTTGAGTGCCACAGGTTTGAAATTCCTCTGGTGCAGAAAGTGCTCATCCAGAAATTACAGTTACTGGCAAGTGGTTAATGGTGCCTATTTGAAATGATTGCCTAATAAATTGTAAAGTAGAAACTGTAAAGTGATATTCTTAGTATCCATGTATACTGTTTTATTATCAAAACGACCTCAGTTCTTTGCTACAATGGATCAGCATCTATCAGGCTCATCACAGTGCTGAATGCTGATCAAGAAACACTCATCACTTCATCTCCTCATTCATCTGACCTCAAAAGAACTAAAAATAAGTCAACAGCAGATGGTTAAAAGTAGCGGATTTGAACTAGGATGTGACAAAAACATTCATTTTTAAAGCAGAGATAAAAAAACGCATCAAAAGTCTGTTTCAGCACTGTGGAGCTTCAGTGGGGAGTAAAACAGTGTGTTTGATAGGGACTCCCACCATCAATCGATTCTACTGCTAACAATTAACTAGCACAAATTAACTGCGGCACCTTAGTGCTAGGAGGAGAGCTGCTGAACAAAAGCTGGCTCCCCTTTGTAACTTTTCCGTGTGCAGCAGCGTGGCATGATTACCTGCTGCAGTGCAATAATAAAGCCTTCACAATTAAATGACTTTAAACAAGTTAGAAGTTCTTTGATTGAGCAATTTGAATGCAGCTGCAGCGTTATGCTCACAGCGTATCGACTGATTTATTTGCTGCTGAGCAAACTGAAATAAAGTATAGGGATTTGGGAGGGAGACTTGCATTATAAAGGTAAAACTTTGGGAAAGTGAGTAGGTTGTCGGGTTAAGTTGTTTAAAGGTCCCCTATTATACTGTTTTTCATCAATATATCACAGGTCTCAGATATATACAAAACATGTCTCTGAAGTGTTTGGCTTGAAATACCAAACAGATCATTGCAGCATCCCATAAACCCCTCTGTTTCAGCTCTGTTTCAAAAGTGCTGATTCTCTGTCTGTTACTTTAGATGAAAATAAGGAGCCACTCCCCACTGAGAGATATTTGGTTAAAAAGAACACTATGGTGCTCTAGGAGGAGATTCAGGTGATGAGGTGGGGGGTGTTACCTTGGTTGGTTATTGGCTAATGGTCATACAAGCCAAAAAATCGTTATGACATCATAAAGTGGCCAAAATCTGATCAGCTCATTTTCAGACAGGTTTTTATGGATCAGGACAAAAAGTGAGCGAATCTTTTTTTCCTGAAACTTTCAGAATCTCTTTCCACAGAGGGGACACATGTGTATGTATAAAAGACATGAAAAAGTGGATTTTGCATAATAGGGGACCTTTAAGGATCTAAAAAGCATGTGAGATGAATACAGAAAAAGAGAATGTATGCATGACAGAGAGTGTTGACAGAGACGAATCCACTGCAACATGACTGGCTGAACACTCTCCTCCTCCTCTCCCCTCCTCCTCTCCCCACCTCCTCTCCGATTCGTCTGCCATCTTGAGGGCCAGCATCTCTGCCTCCAGCATCTTCTGCTCCATGAGCCGCCGCTCCTCCTGGCCACGGATGGCCGTCACTTTGATGCGTTGCATTTCTGTCTCAGCCTCTGCAGCTTTCTGGGCCAACAGCTTAGCCTCCTCCTCCGCGATCTGGGCCTTCTCAGCCAGCAGGTCCGCCGTCTGCTCCGAACGCAGCTGGAGAGGAAGAAGAGGGAAGACAGACAAAAGAAGGATGGGGAAAGGGGGAAAGAAAAGTTGGAATTGGGAGTTGAGGGGAAATGGAGCAAAGAAAGAGAGATGGAGTTACAGGGCGAAACGGGAGGGAGATAGATCGAGGGGAAAGAATAGACAGTGAGAGACAGTAAAGTGGAAGAAATGACGTGAACAGAGGGAGGAAGTGAAGTGAGAACGGTGTGAGACAAGCTCAATTTACCAAAAGAAATGTTGCTGAAACTTTCCGTATATGTGACGTATCTTACCAGTGCGTCGTTGGCCATGTGGGCCTCGTCCTGCAGCTGAATCAGCCTCCTCTTCAGCTCGTCCCTGGCTCTCTCTGCCTCCTCCCGCAGCTGCTTCTCCCGCTGCAGACGCTGCCTCTCTACCTGAAGGTCACAGGAGAGAGGATATGGTGGGGAACAAATGAGTGGAAATATGGATGGAGAAAGAAAGAAACAGAACCAAACATCATTAAAGAAAATAATGAGAAAGCATCATACAAGAGAGGGAAATATTAGGACCCCCACTAGCACTAGCATGAGCGTTGGCTATTCTTCCTGGTGTCCACACAAATATAGTCAAACACACATGTACACACTATAGCCACACAAACACAACAAACAAACAAACAAAGCAACTAATGTCATTTAATTAACATTTAATGATGGAAGTGAAACAAAAATAATCAGCGGTTTAATTAATAAAAAAGTAATTTTGTGTTTGTATTAACAAGTCAGTGCCCTTAAATACTTGTATTTGGGTGCTTGCTTTCCCTCTGTTGTCTGACTTGTAAAACAGATTTGAAAATAACAGCCACAAAGACATGTACTGTACTGTTCAATTGAGTTAACATCTCATTTTGCCCTCTTTTTCTGTGTGTCCAATGTTTCCAACTCACAAAAAGTAGCATTCCCTTTGCCATTTTTTTGTGGAAATGTATACTACATTTGAAGTGGAAACCTGGCTACTAACAAGTTCATTCCTATACCCCCTTCTTTGTTTCCTGACATCCATGTACCTGTTTTCGGGCCCTCTCCTCTCTGGCCTGAGATTTCATCTGCTGGACTTCGAGCGAGTCCACCCGGCGGCGGCGTATGAACAGGTCATGGTTCCCTATACACAACTGGAGGATCTGCACAGAGAAACACAACCAAAGAATGGTTTATATTTACAATGATGTGTCAGAATATCAGTTCATCCCAAAACTCTCATTCACCAGCATCTTCCACATTTTATGAAGACCTTCACTATGAGAAATGACAAACTTTGACAAACTCACCAACTTGTTGACTCTTAGACGCGAAGAGTTGAACTTGAAAACATTGGTTTTCTTGCCGAGAGGTCTGATGGTAAACTAAACATTACGAAGACAAGAATACCAGATTGTTGATCAATACACAAGAGAAAACACCTCAACATTTCAAAGGAGCGAACAAAGAAAATAAACTATGACACTAAAGTATTGCCTATATGTAGCTCTTTATTTAACTGAGTACCGCAGATCTTTGTCACAAAGAACAACAGCAGATTCTCCCACCTCCTTGTCGCTGTAGGAGATGTTGCGGATCTCATTCCAGGGGAAGGAGCACTTTGGTGACAGCCTGTTGTCCGGCTCGTAGATGTGCAGCCCCAGGGCGTCCACTCCCAGGAGAAGATCTGTTCCCTTTTTATTCTGAACCACACACACAGCAGTGAGCAAAGCTTCTCTTCTACCATCCATGCAGCCAACATTTATACTGTATGTACTTGCATGTGACAGAGGTGTCATTGTGGTGGCTCTGCTAGCCATAACTATACAAAAATAATAAAGCCAGTTGTGCGGGGGTATGTGCAGTCTGGGCTAAGTAAACTTATGTTCATATTTCATTATGACTCAGCTGGAAAATGATCCACTGTGTAGCAGTTAATTACTTAAGCCCACAAAATACACATTTGTTTTTAAATGGTTGAAGATTAAAACATCCCTTTTAATAAGGGACATTAAGCACAAGAGGCTGCTAATTTACCACCCTATCTCATCACACCACAGTACAATTGACAAGCCTCCTAGTCTCTTTCACCCTGCACGTCTTTGCAATCGACCATAATGCCGTAAAAAAAAAACATAACAAAGATGTCACATGCAGCCGGCTGAAGTACAGAAGTGAAGAAGGAGGCCATTGAAGTCAGCATTCGTTTATAAGATACCAAGATTGAGTAATAAGACATTATTTATTGTGCATTTTCTGTAGAGCAAAGGTTGCTCTTCTGTACAAAGTTGTGTTTTGATGCAGAGTCGGAACCAGCTTCACTAAAACAGATTTCATCCATAACTTCAGGATGTCAGAGGATACTTTTAATTACATCTGTTAACGCCCATCCCAAGACTCCCAGCCAGGAAACAATTTAGGACGATTAAAAAAAATGTAGGGCCATATATGAAAGTGGCCCAAATTAGAATTGATAATATCAAATTCCATGTGACTGACCATGTGAAGAAAATCTGATTTGGGCAACTTTTGATAACATATTGGCTTACTTTGTATAGATATAGCAAACATTGGCTTACCCTGATTAAAAAGTAATTGACGCCATACATGTCCAGGTCCTGAGCTATTTTTAAATACTCCACCTCAGCGTCTTCCCTGGTTCAAGACAGACAGAGAGAGAGAAGGAGAGAGAGGGGATCCAAGGGAATGAAGAAGAGGAGGAAAGGGCAGGAGGAGAAGAGGGACAGAAGTGGAGAGAAGAAGAAATCAGACTTTTATTCCTTTGCTTTTGTGGAAAGCATCTGTCATGTGTGATCTTCAAAAACTCTGTCACACAGCTCTTGCGAGGGTGAAGACATAAGCACAGAACTGACAGAAGACACAAGTATGATTTGCTAACAGGCTTTAGAGGTCATGCTTGATGGAAGAAAACACTTGTTCTGATGCCTCAAAGACTCTAAATACTGTGATAGAGACATCAATCTTTTCAAACTTGTTTTCTTCCTCTTCTCCTGCCAGATCTGTTTGGATTTCAGGGTCAACTCAGCAAAAAGAAAAAAGAGCATTAGCATACTTTGATGGCTGAGGAAGAATCAGGGCATGCTTCCGGCTAAACTTTTAATCACTTGCTGTTTGATATGGGTGGTGGGAAATTGATGATTTAAGCTTCATCAAAGTTTAAACAGGCAAGGTAGCATTATGCCAAGTAAACACATCTTAACTAGGTTGGACACGGAGTACATTCTGACTTGAGAGTGGGTCTCAGGAGATTTCAATGGTAATGCCTGATTAATGCTGTGGAGGCATAAAGTAGTAGGGTTTCGCTCTATAAAAAGGACATACAGATTCAACAAGTGAGTGAGTTTCTATGATGTTGTTTTAAAGTGGACCTATCATGCTATATTTGAATAATATAGTGTCGGACCATACCTATATAAGGCATATTTATACTTTTTTTTTTTCAAAATACCAAACAGATCATGCATTTTAGCCATGCCTCATTTTGCTCAATTTGACATTTTTTAGATCTGTTTTAGCAAGGGCAGATTCTGTGAGAACAGCACCATCTACAGGCCTGGCATATGTACTACAACGTCTCCAGTGCTTTCGAACGGCAATGCCGTGGTTGTCTCCTCCTGATTGGTGGAGTTGGCCCAATAGCCGTAGCGCCACCGTCCTGACGTCAGGACAGTGTTCAAATCTGGATCAGTTTTTATCAGATCCGTTGCAGCCCCTTTTTTTAGAGATTTGGGTATGGAGGAAAATAGAGAGGGTTGTGTTTTCTGACTCTTGGTGAGTTCCCTGGAACACCGGGGACACATATTCATGTATAAAAGACGTACAAAAGTGCATTTTGCATGATAGGTCCCCTTTAAATACAGTTCTGATGATGTTTAAACTGAACAGGAGCCAAAATAAAGATCAAGTAGACATTTAATAATAATACTGTTTGTCAAAAGATGTGTCTGTCCATAGTATAGAGTATCAAAAACAGTACAAACCCAGCACCTGCGTAAGACTTGTAATTGTGTTGTCTTAGGTGCTATAGTTCTTATCTGTATACAAATGTGCTAGTTTCAGTTTGTTTTTATTTTTGGCTGATGAAGGACTTGGTTTTGTGAAAACATACAGCAAGCCACATAAGCAGCTCTGTGAGGCAAATCACCCTAAATGCTAACATGCTTAACATGTTGTCAGTTTACAATAATATCTGTCATATGTTTGCATGTTAGAATGCTAAAATGCTAACTAAGATGGCTGAAAGTGACCCATTGATGGGGCTATATGAAAGAGAGACCACCGAATTAATATAACTCATCCCAACATTTCCTGAAAAACCCATTTAAATATTGTTAAGACATATGAGGCCTTTTGGTTGTGGGGAAGGAACATGTCAAGGATCACCAAAGACTTCAGGAAATGATTGTGTTTCTGTAGCATCTCTACAAGAGGGACACATGTATTTGGGATTGATGCAAAATGTCAGGTGCTGTATCATCCCAGCATTAAAAGCACCTTTTAATGAAACCCAGCCCTGGTGAAGGTCAGTGAAACCCCTCCTGTGCGCCCACTACACTGCATCACTTATTAAACAATTCAAATGCAAAAGATGTGACCAGCTACTCCCTCTCTCTTTGTTGGGGTTGAATATGTCATTGATCAGCACCAGTGAGTCAATTATCACTTTCCCAAGTGCTGCAGTTGCTGGCTTTCAGAACTCATTTTCCAGCCCTACACCCCCCCACACACAGGAGTTTAAAGACACTCTACATCCCTCACACTTACTCCCTTTTCAATTTTCGACTAAGATCAGCTTAGTAGTAACAGAACAACTAATTCTCATGCTGGTGTCATTGTAGATTTATGAAACCAATTACACAACAGCATTTCTATAGTCCTTTTCACTTTAAAACATTTGCTCCTCGCTAAATGATTCTCTTTTGAAAAATAGCTACATTTGTGTTACATGGTTTTCCTCTTGTGAAAATACATGTTGTTACACGTAATGAGTTTTAAGCTGTGGAAAGCTGTGCAGTTTGTTGGTGCTGCAATAGGTGTTGAAAGTGTCATACCGTGGATTTATCAATGCTAACATAATTAGTGAGGTCACAGTGACCTTTGACCACACAAATCAAATGATTTCATTCACAACAATACAATCTATGTACAGACAGCCTGAGAAAAGGCATACAAGGTTTCTTTCAGAGACAATTTCTATGTGAGCTTTTTTTGTCCTTCTGCCAAAATGAACTTCGGTTTTGCATAAACCATTTCTTGTGGAACCGTTTTTTTAAACACATCCTGTGTGAACTTTAATTTAAAATGTGCTGATGGCTGTGGAACTTCACAGTTCAGTGTAGGGTTTTTTACCTCGTCCTGCCCCTGTGCTCTGCGTAACAAGCCGTGATCCTTTCCTCCCACATTTCTGCAGTCATCTGGTACAAGTTTATCACCTGAAATAGGGGGACACAAACATAAATATAGATGAATGCTGCAGAAAATACAATCAATTTGCAAACATTTTGGCTCATCAATGATGATGTGTAATACCGGCTGTCACTCACCCTCTTTGGAAGAAGTTCCTCCTTGGCCAGGAAGCCAGGCTTGTGGACATTGGGGTCGTACTCTCCGTACTGCAAGATAGAGCAAAAATGCCAAAAGGGTTCAAATCACTAATGGCCACCATCCACCTTCCCTCCAATAGCAGGCCTCTCCTGGGAGCTGTTCATAAGATGAAAGCACAGCGGCTGTGAGAAAAAGGGTCTCCTGGAGAATGAATGGAGGCTGGTCTGCCACCAGGTCATTAACGTGCACCACACACTCAGGCTGTGAGGAGACGGTGTAAATGATGCTATTAGAAATATCTCCAAGAGAGCCGAGACTGATCACTTATCATCCTGGAGCCCGGATCCAAATTAAAACATGCATGTTTGAGGAGAGATATGGATGGATTAGGCATGACTGAGTGGCGGTGGGGAATTTCCTTTGGGCTACTTTAGAACTGGTGGAATGATATGAATTATTCATGAAGCTACTGTTTAAAAAGAGTGAGCTATGACTGTAGATTTATGCAAGCAGGTTAACTTGAATTTGTACCTATATATCTGTGCATTGCTGTATGCTATGTACATGTTCTTTTGTTACATGTTCTCAACTTGAATCTTCTTTTTGTTAACATCAGTAAAAGTTGCAAATAGATCCTGGAATTTGTTGTGTTACCATCTAGGTCAAGGTTCTGAGTGAGCCAAGCCAAAACTAGAAGGTTGAGTTAAAACAATACTGATGAGTGATTAAGAGAGAAAGAGAATTGTCAAAAGCACGAGACAGGATATCCTGCACAAATTCGCCATTACTAAAAAGCCTAGGTACCTCAATAGTGACCGCAATGTTCTTAGATTTTGAAAAAATGCAAGCTGCCCTACGATGTGCACGTACAGACATTAGAGGTCAGATTATGCTAAAAAAAAGATTGTGTGGGAGAGATGGGAACTTTGGGATTGGAGCCTTTGTAATACTATTATTACACACAAACCTATATAACACACTACAGGAAAGGGAAAACCAAGTTGAAAATTATGTAACACCAGTTCTTGCATTCTCCTTAAGAGCGAAGTAATAAAATGTATTCGAGAGAACGACTTGGTGCAACAAATGAGTCGAGTCAAGCCTAAACATGCAGTAGAAATTACGGGTTCAAAAAAAGTTTGAAAAGGGCATCCTCGAAAAGTGTTTGATATTGGTGAAAAGAGTAAAGAGAATGTAAAGACCAGTCTGCAAGTGACTTTGTTTCAAATTAAGTTTGATTACACAGTGTTCATGACATTGTGTTTGGAAGACATAACAACATTAAGTGCTAGAACAATGACAAGAGAATTAAAAATACAATTTAGAGAACATTGATGATTGCTGTTTTTGTTAATGCTGGACTTGCTGTACACAATAGAAAAATAAGCGTTTGAACCACTTTAACGGTTTTAATTAATTAATTATATTTGTTGTGTTGGTTGTGTTACTTTATTATGAAGTTGAATTGGATTTTCAGTGTGAGAAACAGCATATTACAAAATATAATAGGCTCAACACAGACTGAAAGCCTGTGCAGCGGTGCAGTGACTAACCGAGTGGAGAAGCTGAAGGCCATTTAATAACATCCTCTCCCTCAAGTTTCCCCTCAACAGAGCTTACACTCCCTTAGTTTATCACTTGTTTGTTTGTAACTGCTACATAATTGATGGAAGACATATCAATATATATATATATCAATCTATATTCACATCTGGCACTGGAAATGTCACTGTTGAAATGCCAGATATATATATATCTATATATATATATATATATATATATATATATATATATATATATATATATATATATATATATATATATATATATATATATATATATATATATATATATATATATATATATATATATATACACACTCCACATTTTTTCCTTCACAGGTGCACGACATGCCTAAAAATATCTCTGCATCTAGTTGTAAAATATTTGCCATATCATTTCCTTTCCATCTCCATGTCTCATTGTCCCTCACGGTAATGCTGGTTTACCCAAGCTGCGGTGGAGCATCAATATTATGACAGTTGAGTCAGAGTAGGATTTACATAATCTCAAGGATAAAAGGACATATGCCATGAGTATTAAATACCATATTGTGTGGTTTGGATTGAAACTGTAAAGTGAAACTCTGTAAAGCTCTTAGCTGTTTACATAGATTGGAAATATATCCGTGTCATATGCAGTGAGATAGAAAATAAATCGGATTGGAATACGTCTAAAAATAAACACACTGTAGACGAAAGGCTGCCTCATTCAATTTTTTTAAATGTAGCTTAGGTTTAAGTCTTATTGGAGGCCCCTGTAAACCAGTGATTTACAGCAGTGTCATTTGTTTATATTTGTTTGTCATGTCCCTCCACTCTTGGATGAACATGCACTCCACGCCCTCTGTGGCACTCTGGCTGAGGGAGCCGACCTTACTCTATATTCAACCTCGCAGAGTGACTCCCTGTGAATTTGTCCAGAGAGGCTGTTTCTTGAAATTCTTGTTCAACACCTCCTTGACGCACTGCACCCACTCAGAAATCAAAGCAGGGGGCTTTAAAAAAAACTCTGCTGATCCACTGAGACTGAACTGTTCGCTCCCACAGTGTACACACACAACTATCCACAGAAAGGTTAGTGTCGTTTTTAGATGTGTGGAACATTTTATACATTATCAAAGGGTTATTCTCAGCGTGTCGATATTTTGTTTATTTGATACCTGGGGAGTGTTTTTCAATAAGTGGTTAACATTTAAAAGTTGCATTCTTTAAATCATACTTCTTAGAAACAGTAATTTTTTGTAGGACATTGACTTAAACTTGTGATTAAAGTAAAAGGTGATAGACCACACAATTAGTTGAATAATTAAGAGAGTAATCTGCAGATGAATCACTGAATTAGTTGTTAGGTGCCCTTGAGAAGCATATTTTTGAGAAAAAACAATAATTACGATTTATTATTATAAACTTTAGATGGACATTGTAATGTTTGTGTATTTTGTCTTATTCACATTGAGTAAATGTCACATAACTGTTGTAGTGGATTGTAGAATAATGCATAAAATGTAAGTTGTGTCCTTAATCATGTCATATATAGGGTTACAAACTGTTGACACCATATTTGATGACTATAATTGTCTTCTAGTTAGTGATGATACAACGTGAATTGTTTTCCTGTGGCCTGAGCTCTTGGAAACTTACTGTATGAACATGTGTCTGTGTTCAAGGTGAGATAAGGGTAAAGAAGTCATTTTTTCACACAAATCCCTGCAGTAATCCTAACTTCTATTATCCGCTCCACTCATGCACTCCGTTTCTCATACTAGGGTAGTTTTTATTGCTCCCTGCTGTTCTATAAATTATATACCACTTTTTGATCTCACTGGAAACTGATTACACACACGGATTCTGTGTGCGACTGTGCTTTCCTTAACAGAGCTATGATTCACCTTATTTAAAAAAAAAAAACGTAATGTATACATTTATGCCGCCTTTTGCTTTCTTCAGGCTGTCATAATATGATTAAAGATGAGCGAAGGTAGCGAAGTAGATCCCACTGCGTGACTCATAGGCTGCACAAAAACAGCTCATGAGTAGAGAAAGAGTAGGGGAAAGTCTGCCAAAAACCTCTCAGCAGCTGCACCGCTAAACAAGTACCTGTCTTCCCTTTACAACACCAATGTACTCCCATTGGCTCTAATCAAAGTGGACTGCTGATTAAACGAAAACAGATTGTGGCCCCATATTTTTTTCTGTGCGCGCTGACAGCCGAGAGTAACAAGTCGCCAGCTCATTTTCAGATTTTCCCTTAAGGTCTTTAAACACCAAACTGACACCAAAGAAGACCAAAGAAGACCAAAGAACACCAAAGAACACGTCCCGACGGATCGTCGCCTCACGTCGCCTCACATCGCCTCACGTCTCCTGCGTCTTGGCCATGTTTCACACTGGAACACCGCAAAGACTTCAGCCAACAGCCAAGTTGCACGTACGAACTGCGCAAGCGTGAGTGGCAATAACTCTCCTTACCAGCAGGCGGCGGTAGTGTGTATTCGTCATTCAAAAGAGGCAACAACCGGAAGACAGACTGCGTGATACACCGAAAGAAGAAGAACAGACTGCGTGATATAAACAAACAACAAATAGCGTGTGCGTTCCATTTTCACTCTACAACGAGAAGCTCATGGGGCTTTCCCGAACCTGTGTCGAGAGCTGGAGTTAAATGAAATCTCAGATTTGCCTTCTTAATAGTTTGTTTGGGTCCCTCACTTCCGTTTCGCTTCTCATGCACTGATTCGCTAAGCTGAACAGCCAATCAGAGTGATTTTTGGCCGACGGCCTTTAGCCTTTAGCCTCCCGATTCAACATGTCGAATCGGCGGCGGAAGGTGTCGGCACGGCCGAAAAGACACGACGGTGCGGGACACACCAATCTGAGTAGGGCGACACAAGGCTCATCGACGGCCCGACGGCGACATCTATCGACATCTATCGACGGCCGAAATCGGCTTGGTGTGTAGGGACTTTATACACGCGTCTCAAGCCCTGTTAAATTGGTAAGGTGAAGGAGAGTCTCTGAAGGCTCCAAACCCCCGAGGTAGAGCTGGGGTCTCACTGGAGCCTATCCGCCTGTCAGATATCTGCACCTCGCTCTCCATATACTTACTTGGGGATTTCAGTGAGACGGGATCCTTCAACCAAAACGGCTGAGATCGCTGGAGGTTTATTAAGAGAGCCTTTTCTTGTGAAGCGATTTCCATAGACTTCAGGTAACTTGATGTTTGATCCTTGACAAATAAATCAATAACTATTTGTAATGCGGCAAGCTACGTACAGGTTAATGCAGTTTATAGTTTATAGCTCTAAAGAAGGCTTGATGCAATCTTAATGAAAACACAAATAGTAAAAACAAAGTTACCCCACAAACTAAACCCATTAGGACAAAAACTCTTATTAAAAAAATTACATAGTTGATGCAAAAATAACCTGGACTAAAAAATGAATAATTAAAGTAAATAATACCATTACTGTACAAATAACTATGATTATAACACGCTTTTTCTTGAATCAGTCTAACAAGGTTAGTTTTGAGTTGGACGGGACAATACAACATTAAATATATTTCTAAATATACTGTCACTAAACCCCCCACGCAAATATCTGCCTCTACTGCTCACATCCCCATACACACCTCCAGGCTAACACACACATCTTAACAATGTGATTTAGTATTCACCACAGGGTCAATGTGATCAGATGCCTGAAATATCTCAACTGGCCTCTTTAAATGCAAAGGAGCAGGGTTTCTACTCCAGGCTTCTTCGTGTACAGCCATCCTACAAAGGGAGCCCATTCCATCCCGCTCTGTCTGAAATGTTGGTCATTTAGTCACTACGCTGAGTTCCTGAAGGCAAGTGGAATTTAAGATTTATCTAATTCCACTTACTTACAGTTAGGGTCAATTATTTTCCAAAAGTATTGCAAAATAAAACATTTCCCTCTATTGCTAGATAGCAGAGAACTCTTCTGCTCATCTGCAAGCAACCAAGAACATAGAATGTGTTATTGGTTCCACTATCAAGATCCAGTGTGAGAGAGAAACTCCCTCTATAGTCTAGAGGGAACTTTGGAGACTTTGCAGCCATTTACATGCCCAACAACCTATATAACACACTAAAGGAAAGGGAAAACCCCAAAAAGCATAATAGGGCCCTTTTAGAGCATATAAAGGATACCTAATAGAAACCCTAATAAATTAGTTGAAAGTACAATAAATTGTCTGAAAAGTACCATAAACAGTGCATGCACAACTGCCTTCAATCTGCCTTCAGAAGATGAAGACCCCGATGAATCCAACAATAGGGCAGCCACCTGCTCCCAACCCAAAGGGAGGGACCCACCATTTTCTTTAAAGGTCCCATGACATGCTTTTCCGGTTATTACCGTCATTTTTCTGCATGTAAGCGGTCTGCAAAGTCACAAACCCTCAAAGTACACCCTGTAGCGAGTAAAACTCTAACACAGAAAAGACCTGTCTATGCTGCACCAGAACGCTTCGTTGGGGATTTTTCTATTTCCATTTTCCGCCAGAGTCCTGCATCGGGTCATCGGGTCGGTAGTATTTTTTCACAAAAAAAAATCCGGGTTTGGTTCTGGGTAAAACAAAGAAGATGCGGGTCGGGTCGCGGGTGTTGCATAATAAATATATTACAAATAATAATAATTTAATTTAATGTTTAAAGATTCCTCAGACCTCTCCCCCGCGGGACCGCGCATAATCATAACCTCTGCACCGCATCAATCTGCTGCTGAGCGCGCCACATTCGAAATGGCTGAGGTGAAGGCGAAGCTCGGAGAATACAGCATTGTCAATAACTCTTCCTCAAGAGCGAAATCCAACGTCTGGGAGGCTTTTGGTGTCATCCTAGATGGAGAAAATAACCAACATCCCACACTTTTTGAGCCAAATACATAACTGCATGTGTTAATAATTGCATGTTTTCACTGCTCATAGGATATGCGGGTTCGGGTCGGTTTGCGGGTCGGTTTGCGGATCTTGTGCCGACGGTTCGGGTCGGTTTGCGGAACTAATTGGCAATATGTGCGGGTAGCGGGGCGGGTTCGGTATTGCACGTCGCGGGTGCGGGGCGGGAGCGGGTCTTGAAAATCAGACCCGTGCAGGACTCTGCCCCACGCAGCATTCTCATCTGTTTGTCATTACTGGTGTCATTTTCTGGTTGCTAACAAACGCCATTGTAACACATAATCACTGATGTTCCGCTGTAACGGTGGTGGACTCATCAGAACAGAGTGGGCGAGCTGACCAATCAAAGCACAGTGGGCTCACGGGGGGGGGCGGGGGCAGGAGCTCCAACAAGCCGTTTAGGACAGAGAGTGAATACACATACTATACAGAGATGCTGTATGATGTTATTTTGGAACATTGAACAATGTAAATCTATTCTAGTAGACCTCAACAATGGAATTATGATCAGTAGAAATGGCCATGTCATGGGACCTTTAAACCTGGTGCTGACATCTCTCTTTCAGTGTAGGTCAGAGCCCGAAGAGGCCACAGCTTCATCATCAGTAGCAACACTGTAAGGAAGGTGTAATCCTGAGGTCAACATGACACTATTATTCGGCTGCACCTCTGCTTCAGTAGCTTTTGTATTCTCTCTTTAATTAAACGGGATTCAATACAAGATCTGCTGGGAGGCTTCTCAAACCAGCGTGCACTGCTTCAGCAGAGCTGTTTATCCATTTAGAAACAGTTACTTCCAGAGTACATAGGGTCCTAGATTACAAATTAAATGCATTTCCTGCCTCTAGCACTCCAGGAAGTTAAATAAATCAATATACTTAAACTTGCAGGTGAAGTAACTTGTGGCCGGTCTAATGTGTTCCCCTCTGGTCTTTTTGAGGACTGTAGAGTTCTGGATCAATTGTGGGTGATTAATGTGTGTTTTAGGGAGGGGGGGCAGATATAAGCAGATTGCAATAAAAAAGCCTGCACGTGATAAAGCATGCAGTCTCTCTGCACTGTTGTGAGGGACAAAGAGAGGCACAATATACTTTTATCAAAGGAACATTAAATGCATGTCATTTTGAGAAAGTGGCCACACTAGGCTATTGCAGTTTATTTAAATAAATAGTCATCTACAGCCTCAAAGAACTCACTACCCAAGATGTAATGAGATATAAACCAGGTCAGGACAGCTCGAGACAGACGACTACATATTTTCTCGGGTCAAAGTCATTTGAACTCAAAGGATGACATGAAGCACAGATAGGGTTTATTTAGATGTCACTGTATTCCTTGTGCTGGGATAGGCCTGAAAACGATCCCATTCTTTAGCACATGAGGATGAGAAGAAGTTGTCATGCACAGATCAAAGTGAATGTAAACAAACCATTCAAGAATACATGGATGAATTCAAACATAGATTGATCTTTAGCTCCACAGAGAGCACTTACCTTGGCATGGACGGCGTATGAGGCCAGCAGCACGGAGGCTTCAGGAGGACAGTGAATCTCCTCCTCCAGGATGTTCTTCTTCACCTGAGGAGGGACCAAATGCAATTACTTGTAATTCAAACTAATTTTTTGTTTATTTTTTGTTAAAAAGCCCTTTTAGGTCTTCGCTGAACCCGCCTTAGAACCAGCTCTGTTTGCTGTTTGTTTGAATTATAATCCCCTTTAATATGATTATTATTTATATGAATTTTGATTCATTTGCAATCTTTTTTTGGGCTGTATTTTTTCTTTCTTCATTTTCTTTTCTTCATGTAGCTTAGAAAACTTGAGTGTTTAATGCATACCATAAAGCATTTTTTTTTTTTTTTTTTTTATTTACCCTATGCAAAACAAAAAAGATGTGTATTTAGAACAAAGGCCACATATAGACAATTAAAGTCATTAAAAAAAAAAAGAAATCTATTCCCAAATAAATCTAAATCTGTGCTATTGGGTAGTTTGTTTCCCTCTCGAGTGGTCTGTTTTTCAGTCAGGATTACCTACTGGCCCCATTATAGTAGAAGGGTGAAGCATGGGACAAGAAATAACTAAATACATTTAAGATCGGATCCTAATCCGGCTGCCAATACGCATATTGCAAGACATTTGCTCTGCTTAGATGTTACCTAGTGGGAAATTAATGTGAACGCCCTAAAGTCAGAGCAACCAGCTCAAATCAAATATCATATGAGGTGAAGGAGCTGGAGCTGATTGAAAGGTGATCGTACTAGACTGAAGCACGATGAGAATAAGATACCTAGAGAGAAGAGAGTCAGTGTAGGGTGAAACACAACTTTCTAACAACTGTACCTTCCACAGCCAGAATTGTATTTCATTATTTCCACGCTGACAAATACAGAGACAATATAGAGCTTAAACTGTTTTCAGGTACCAATTTTCATAAGCCAAAAAAGACCAATTTAGGATATGCTGCAAACCTTAAGTAAATAAGCTACAGCTATACTGCAACATCTTACTGATGCTTTCTCAAGAGCTCTTGGACCTGGAAACAGGATAAACTTTGCTAAATAAATATTCTAAAACTTGAGTATCATAGCCACATTGGGACCTATTAGACACCAACTATGTACCTAAGCCAACATTAATGTATATGGTCATTAAGCTGCTCTAGGAGTATCTGCTTGCGTATATAGTATAATGAAATGAAAGTAATGCGCCTTGAAAAGCTTTGAATCATAATTAGAGAGTGCCGCCTATTTTCCTAATTCATCAGATCTAGCAGCTTCTATGTGTGTGAATACACTCCAATCATTAGGAGTGACAAATGCAAGGTTTAGATCTCCGGTTTATAGCTATAGAGTGGTTCATGTTGACTTAACTATCACAGATCCCAGTCATATCATGAATTCTTAAAATGGGTGGAAATCCCCTTTAACAAGCTCCCTGCAGATTAAGAGTGCAGGTGTCACTACAGGAGCTCTGTCACCTGTCACACTAATGGAATCACAAACGTTCAAACTGCATGCGGAGCACAAAGCCGGAACGCAAGGTGAGACGCTGCAAACCTGCTGCAGCCGTGGTGGTGGGCAATTTAGTGCTTCAAACCTTATCATTTACAAAGCCAGTCTGTCTTCTTTGTTTTGAACTAACTGAGGTGTGGAGCCAGAGGTGACTGATTGTGGGAAGCGCTTAGACACAGAGGCCGCAATCTGATTTACAAATGTTGTTGCTAAAGAGGTGACAAAGATGTGTCTGTTTGTGTGAGTGGTCTTAAGTGTGTGAGGGGTGTGTGTGTTTGTATCCGGGTCGCTGATTATTTCCGATAAGCGCTAATCCAGCTGTCATGCCTGTGACACTATCTGAACAGAGGCCTGCGCCCGACATTGTGGGAATTAATGAGAGTAATATGGAGACAGGCGGCGCAAGGCTAAGCATTTGTATTCCTCTTCCCTTGTAGCTGCTTTAACTGTTGAGTCATTTGTCTGCTGCTTCTTTCCTTTTAAAGCGATGTCTCCCCGTAAAACCAATAAATTGCTTCAACTACCTTTAAATGGATTAAGGAAACAGATACTTGTTATATAGCTTAAGTAGACAAGCACACTGCTGTCTCAAAGCATATAACTAAACCAGCACAATGGTCTATAAGTGCTATTGGGGATGAGCATCCCATAGAGAATATGTCATTAACTGGGCCAATAACTGAGTCTTTAAGTCCTAATTGGTAATTGATAAATGTGGCTGGTAGCATTGGAAGACAGTTACAAATCTAATCTCTTGAGGGCAGGAATGGCTCCGCAGGAATCCCCCGGAGAGTATTAAGAGGAGAGAAAGGGCTGCGGTAATATGTTGCGCATTGATTCCACATGGCTGCACACTATCAGACTGGAGACAATGGGAAAAGTGTATAACAGAGGGCTCTGCTCAACAACTTGTTAGAAACTCAGTGGACGCATGCCCCCTGTTGGCACCGGATCAGAATAGTGAGGAAGCCGCAAATACGGCACATCAGCCTGTTCTCAATGGTGAATTCATGAGCATTTTGAGAGCTTTTAGGTGTTAAATATCTCACACAGCAATTTTTTCTCAAGCCTATATTTCATCTCATCTTGTTCCTCAGAAAGATAACACCAACACCCACAGGTTTTGCTTTTAGAGTCTTGAACATAGCACCCCTCTAGGAAGATTACGATCAAGGAAAGAGAGGTTTTAAAAAAAGGTGTCTGCCCACTAGCCAGCCACTAGGCAGTTATCCACAGCTTCTCCTAAAAGGCATGTTGGGTTTCAGGTTTACCTGTCAAGCCTGCAGCTATTTCAATTTAAACAGCAGCAGAGAAAGAAGAAAATGTGTCAGTCAGAGGTAGAGTACAAAGAACATTCTCATGAGGCCTTTATGGCATGAAAGACACAAATGAAATAGATACGACGGGAACAAGATAAGTATTTAAAGAGAAGATCCAGAGACAAAAGAGCAAAATGAGGTTAAAAATCACCAAACATTCAGCATTTTTATTTATTATTTAAATTGGATTAAGCTTGGAATGAGGAAAACAAAACTACACCTATTTGCGCAGTGACAAAACAGCGATGTACATTATGTATAGTTACCTGTAGGAAGAAGAGATGCTGTGTGATATCCTGCACGAGCTCCTCCTCAGCATTTTCAGGGTAAAACTTGGCCAGGAAGTGAAGAGTGATTGGTTCTTCCTTCGGTACCTCCTGATCCAGAACCTACGACAATGACCCAAAGAAAAAAACATTCGCAAAACGGGTCAATGTTTTTCAGTGTTTTGCCCGCTACGTCTTTATCTACAATGTTAATAATGGCTCTTAAATGACCAGTACATCGTTAACATCCCTTACCCTCTTTTCCATCTTCAGCCAAGCAACGGTGTCCTTGATGTCGTACCGGAGTCCAAAAAACCACGTCTCCCTCAGCCCCAGAGTTCGACACACAAAGTCAAAAAGGTCTTTCCCTTTCCACTTGACCTGAAACACAAAAAGGATTTCGTCTTAGCAAAACAAAAAACTTTAAAAACTCAGCCTGTAGAGCTTATTATCGACAGTCAAATTGGCTGCAAGCTTTTGTCAAGTGCATTCAAGGTTAGCATGACAAAAACTTGTCTCGTGTGTGTGTGTGTGTGTGTGTGTGTGTGTGTGTGTGTGTGTGTGTGTGTGTGTGTGTGTGTGTGTGTGTGTGTGTGTGTGTGTGTGTGTGTGTGTGTGTGTTACAGTTAAAACTCCAATAAATTAGGAAAACAGCTTCACAATACAGCAGGAGGAGCAACTAGGGGAGAATCAAAGAATCTTATGCAAGGGCTGTATGAACACTTAGTCTATACGACCTATACCCGCTAAATACTATTTACAAAACCCATAATTGATACAATTATCATCCCAGCACAGAAAATAGAAACCTGCAACTAACAGTATGCTGCTCTGTGTAATTACCAACTGCAAACCATGAAGGGTTCCTCCCCTTTAAATACAGAGGAGGTGTCTGCGAGTCATTTCCATGCCTTTCAACTCTGCTTTATCATCAACCAAATCATATGCTTAACCATAAAATACTACAGGAAGGCCCAAAATACATTAAAAACCAGCATACATCAGTGTGTTTTAACCTCACACTGAAGGATGATTCACACAGCACTGCGACAAGTTCAATACTGCATTGACTAAAATGTTCATGATTCCATTGCTGCATAAGACAGAGATAAATATAACAGATATGCTCTCCTGTAGAATAAACCAACTGTACAAATTGCGTTTGATCATAGTTACTTGCTGCCATCTAGTGTCGAAAGTGAAACTCTATATTATATGTGACCATCATCCCTGTTGTCCCCTGGTAAAAGCGTGACAACACATCAATTCAAGGTGTCGTTACAGTGTATGGTAATGCATAGAATACGGTTATAGTTGCAATACACTGCATGACAATTGTTATCCCAGTCAGTAGGAGGACTGAGATGCATTTCGTGTTATGTTCAGGTAAAGTTTGCAGTAAAGTTGAATTTAATATTGCTCATTTTCTGAAACACACTCATACACACCTCGCAGCTGAACTCCATGTCTGACTCCATTGTGCAGATCCTGACGTTGAAGTTCTTGGCTTGTTTTCTTAACAATGAGTTGAATCCCATTTTTGCTGCTAAGGCACTTGCCATGGTGAATAGCTTACAAACTTACTATTTACTTATACAAAGTCCTACAAAAGAAGTGCACTGTCAAGGCATTATTTCTGTTACACTATATGGCGTAGACAGTCGAGGATGTGACTGTCCAGCTTTACTCTAGCACCTTCAACTATCAATAAATATATGTTTAAAACAAATTTCATTCAGGTTTAAATGAGGCTATCGCTGACATTATCTTGACTTATGAATGTATAATACAGATTCCATGTTTAAATTGTAGTATTTTGTAATATCGCGTTACCTACAAAACAAGTTAGTTTACTTTTAGCATAAGCAGATGAGACAAGTGTACTGTCCTATCCTTGCTGCTAACGTTAGCTAACAGGTTAAAAAGAAAATAAGTAACTAACTAACTAACGTGTACATTACAAACCCATTTCTTGCGCTAAAGGTATCCGTCTTTATAACTTTAAATCCGTTGACGTATTCTTCTAAGCGTCCAAAAAAAAAGATGAAGCCAATATATCTCTCCTGGACAGTTCAAAACACTTCTGCATGTTTACTCGAAGCGATAGCTACCTGCTGCTAACCATTTGTTACCAAGCTCATCCTCAAAGCAATGCTGCATTCAAGTACCATCAAGATCGTTGTAATAACATCGTAGTGCACAGTTGATCAAATTCATTGACTGACAAAACAAAACAATGCTTTGTTATGGTCAAACATATAATTATTTATATTATTATGTTACAATGCTGCTTTATCAAAATAATTTCCCAATGTGGGATCAATACAGTTTCTATCTATCTGAATATATGCAGTAATAATACATTGTTTTCTCTTTTGCAATTTCTCAAACCATAGCCAAAAGTAGCCAATGTATCCTGATGTAAACAATATATACAAAAAGTAGGGTCGAAAATAATCAAGCTCTAGATTCTAAATGTATTTTTGAGCTAAAATGTGTAGTCACTTATTCAGATTTGAGTTTCAAAGTGTTGGCCAGGAAAAAAACAAGATAACTGATGATAGGCCCTTGCCGTTTTTCATTGTTTTTGGACAAATAACATCCCATATTATGAATTAAACAATAACATCTATATTGTTATTAAAGAATGAATCAGGTGCAAACCTACTTACATGTATTGTTCGTAGATATTAATTTCCCCTTCTGGCAGGTGCTACAGGAAGCTGAAGAATAATAACAATGAGTTTTGCTAACAGGTCATCACAGAAGTTTTGTATTCTTTGTAAATAAATTATGATTTATCTGTAACAAACTTGTATTTGACACAGACAATGGACATGTTATGAGTGTGGACAAGTACCTTAAAAATGTAGTTTCTTTTGACTGCTGAGGAATGGACTTTTGCATATTTTCTGATTATTTTATCATTTGTGATTCTTTTTCTAAAATAACATAAATCTCGAGCGTCCAAGGAACCCTGAAGGTGGCATGGCTTCCCTTCTCCTGACCGAACAACCAATCACATTGCACTACACCTCCCTTGCCCCGCCCCTAGCCATGCCCCCTGCGCCATAAATGGGCGGCGCCTGTTCAATGAGGTAATCTGGGTAAACAGTAAAGATGGCGACGTCTGCAGTCGCAGAGGGACAACAAAGTCTAAATGGGATTATATCCGACCCTCAATCAAAAAATTTGACCGACCTGCCTACCGAGTTGCTAGAACACATCCTGTGCTTTCCAGTCCTAAAAAATGTCGACATTTGTAACGTCTCCTGCTGCTGCAAGCGGCTACACGACGTTTGCCATGAAAGGGGGAAGGTCTGGGGACACCAGTACAAACTCAGGTGCTGTTATTTCTCTGTGCTATATCGTCGCAGTTACTGCTTTTGGTGGCTATTTACCACTGTCTACCGAAACGAAGCTGCCTTTTCTTTATTATCTGTCTTATTTAGAGCCCTAAATTGCTCATTGTACTTAAAAATGGTTTCCTTTACTGCGAACTCACAAGCAGCTGTCATCCATTGACATCCTGCTGATGCACCAAATGCATCACCCCGCTAGGCCAGCAGCCAGCTCTCTGTGAAGCTTGTATATCTTCGCGTTTAAACATTTCACACGTTGCAGCTTATATTCCTTCTTTCCCAAAACTGCCAATAATTAATTTGTGTGACCTTGAATGTAACATGTTGCCTGTGAAATGCAGGAGAGTGCAGCTCTTGCCAAAAGCTCAGCCCTCCTGACCGATTTGGCTATCACTCTCCTGATTGCTTTCCTTTGTACAAATAGCAAACCACGCATGCATCAGGATGATAAATGATCTCATAGACATCTCATATAGTGCCTCAGGCATTATGCTGCATTATGATCATGCTCTAAAAGATTCACCGGAATAACAATTTTACTGCCTTCATCAACAGATGGCCACGATTGCAGAGGTTTTATCGTCAAAATGAGTGCTGTGACTGGCTCAGAGAATACAAAACACGCCATAGAGTTGGCATACAAATACGAAGGACGGTGGAATCGATCTCTAAGAGATTCTTCACAGAAGTCGTAAGTAATCCATTTGTAATATTGAATATATACTGATTCTCAACTGATTAATACTATGTTACATCAGCCCTTGTTTGATACATAAATATACAGTATATGACAGAAAGGAGAAAGCAATCAGTCCAATCAGTTGAATCAGTACATTTTCCATTAATAGATGCTTAAATGCATTTGTCTCTGTGTGAGATGTGAGATTTCTACGCCCAAACTAACCCAGAGATCTGTAACCCAGCCTTGTGTTGGCCAGGTGCTCGGAGACAGCTTTGCAGAGATTGAGTCGCTTGGGATGCCAGAGCACTTTTGTGAAGACGAACTCCTCTTCATACTCAACTCAGACAAGAGGTAAGAGCAGCAGTGTGCACATACACTACGACCTTAAACCTGCCACACACTGCAGTGTTGTATGTATGTAAACTGTTGTTGTGTTGCACATTCCCGCCAATGGACCAATAATGTGTCTCTCTTTCATTCTGCGCCCTTCCTTAGTAAAAGCTTGACTCTGAAGTACTATGCAAAGAAAATCCTTTACTTCCTGAGACAACAGAACATCCTGAGGAGTTTGAAGACTTTCCTGGAGCAGCCTGCAGAGCAGCAGTCAGCTTTAGAGGGTGAGGCATGAATACATGTCAAACAACACAAATTGCACTGTTCAGCTTATACATACAGTGCATTTTCACATTTGATTGGTCTTGTTTTTGTTTGTAATTTTCACAATTAAATCCAATTATTCACCCCCTCACTTGCTCTTGCCGGCCTCTCTAGGTGCCATACTGGTGGATCAGTATTGTAACCCTCTGGCTGAGGTCACACTGAACAGCGTATCAGCGCAACTGGATGAGATTGCAGAAAAAGTGAAGAAGATGCTGAAAATCAAGAACTCCTCTCACCCCAGCCTGCGCATCGCTCAAGGTGGGCTTTGCAAAACAAAAAAACAAAAATAATGTCCTTTCTCTCAATTTAGAATACGATTGTATTTGGGCCATATCTGTCAGCTGCACAATAGTTTCCCTTTCAGCCATATTTATTATGTGTATGTCTGATTTCTTGTTTATTGTATAGGAGACTGTTTTGTCGTGGAGGACTTTGAGCTCCAGACGCAGGTGGTGTGTGCTCTAAACTCCGTCCTGTACGAGCAGCTTCAATACAAAGGCAACGAGTCTGACTACTACAACCCTCTCAACTCTTACATCCACCAGGTAGATTGTTTAAAAATCATTTACACTTTCAGCTTTTCAACCATTTTTCAACCATTAAAATCTCAGGACTCACTAAGCCATGTTGTTGTTCATTCAGGTGCTACTACGCCGTACAGGTATTCCCATAAGCCTCTCGGTCCTCTACATGACGTTAGCCCATAAACTGGGGGTTCAGGTGGAACCTGTCAACTTCCCCAATCATTTTCTGCTGCGCTGGTGCCAAAAACAAAGAGGGTAAGGTTTGAAAGTAAAATATCCTAACATTTCGTTTTAACATCATCTTCAGTGTAGAGCTGCCATTTACATGATTTGTTGAACCAACCAATCAGGAAATGAAACGACATTGAGATAATCTTTGGTCGTACGTCAAAGGATTTGTTGTCCTTTTTGCTTCATTAAGTCCATTTCTGTTTTTAACTTCCTTTTTTCATAAAATCCTAGTTCTGCTTATTGTCGTCAACATGAACAAATAATATTCAAAATCAAATCTTGTTTAATAGTATATTTTTAGGCAGCCTACATTGAAATCTGACAAGTTCTCAGCTATTTTGGTTGTCTTTTTGGTATAAACTAGAATAGACATTAATTACATTTTACTTTTTTTTGCTGTGCAAGTTAAATGTTTTCTGTTCACTGGAATGGATGTACATCAGCTAATTATGGTGCATTGTGTTAGAAATACAAGCATGCTTTGATGCTTTAGTAGTTATTCAGACACTTTGTGATAGATTCCTGTAAAACATATTTTTCATATCATAATTTACCAAACGTTGCACCTGCAGGAGCGAGGACATCTACGACTATGTCTACATCGATGCCTTTGGTAAAGGCAAACAGCTGACAGCCAAGGAGTGTGAGTACCTGATTGGCCACCAGGTGACGGCAGATTACTACAGTGCCATCAGCACCACGGAGGTTCTGCTGAGGATGGTGGGGAACCTGCTCAACATCGGCAAGAGAGGGTAAGAGAGACTCAAAATCTGACTGTCACTACTGAGTCTTCTTTTGATGGATGGTCAAGGCATAAGATGTTATTAAATGACGTCTACAATTAAATCAATTCCTTCAACGTATCACAGAATTAAATGACTCAATCAATGTAATGATTTGTTACTTCACCCTAACTGTGTGGTTTTCTTTTAGGGAGGGCAATGAGAAATCCTACCAGCTGCTGAGAGACTCTCTTGACCTTTACCTCACTATCAACCCAGACAATGTGCAGTACCTGCTGCTGCAGGCACGCCTCTACTTCCACCTGGGCATCTGGCCAGAAAAGGTCAGGACACACAACCGGATGCTTTTTTTTAATAATGCTCTATATGAAAGTATTATCTTTCAAAGCACTAACTCTCCAGCCAGGAATGAAACCTGGCACCCAAAATGTACATAGCGCTTGGTTCCCTCATCTTGAAGTCAATGGTCAATTTCTGTTTAAAAGTCTGAAATAAGTTATGGTTAAGACAAGTTTAAGAGATTTAACATCTGTTCCACGGCCTGAGAAGAGGGAATTACAGCACAATGTGGTTTTACTAGCAGTTCACATTTTTAGGAAAACAATTTTGAGTCCTTTGACCTTTATTAGGTTAACATATTATGTTCTTTGACCTAATAAAAGTCTGTAAATATCCCAGCCGTGTGTGCTGAAGTTTCTAAATGAGACTACTTAATGGCATCAGGCCAAACACTAGAAAGCCTTCAGCTTAGTGGCGGTGATGTTAAGTTATGCAACCAGGTTGTTGTACGTTCACAGGCTAATGTTAGCTTTTTCCTTCTTGCATTATCCATTGGTGAAATCCCATTGGCATTTTGGCGATGCTAGCTTTCAAGTAGGCTTAACAAAATGGATTCCTGCAGCACTCTTTATATTTTAGAGCTGG